GAGCGGAGCGAGGGCTCATTAGCGGGCTGCTAATCAGCGCGGGGGGAACTCGCCGTTTCTCACGCACAGATGCCCCGAGATGCGCCCGGGGCAGGAACGGGGGAGAAGCGCCGGGGTGGCGGGACCGGGAGAGGACCTGCGGTGATGGAGCGGTGGGAAAACGCTGCCCAGCTGCCTCCTGCGGGGGCTGGGCACCCGCAGCACCTCGGCCAACACCAAATCTTGGGCTTCGAAACGCAGGACTGAACATCCACCCTCTGCCATCTGCTTGGTTGGGGTTCCTTTGGTTTTACATGCAAAGAGAAACGTTTCTCCAGCTCTTCCCCTGCCTCTCCAAAGATCCGTCCCCTCCTCACACCTTGATCCTGGTGTTTCCACACCTAAAAAGTGTCACCACTCCCCAGCAGTCCTCCCCTGATGAAGGGCTTGACCCAGCACCTCCTCCCCGAGGCAGGCGTGGATCCAGAGCAGAAATCTTTGCTGTGGAGAGGTTTAAAATGAAAAGCAACACATCCCAGCTGACACTCTGCTTGGGAGAAGCATGAGTTTGAGATAAAGCATCTCCTGAAATGCCCACAGTTAAGTTGTCTCATGTAAAGCACAACACTGGTGCTGGAGCAGCACAGGGGGTTCCACCCCGGAGGAGGAGATGGGATTTGGTTGTGTCCTAATGCACCAAAACCAGGGGTTAAACTGCAGCTGCAGGAGCCTCACTACTGGAGATGGAGAAGCACCATCCTCTGGGGCACACGTGGAACTGTCACTGGATAGGGAGAGACAAAAGCAAAATATAAATGAGTTTTATCTCATTTAAAGTCACTCCTCCGGCCACAGCCACGCTGCCTCCTGGAAGCTCTCTAGCTGGTCTGGGGCAGTGATGGGAAAACACAAACTCCTTCCTCAGAGGCCAGAACAGGGCAGAAAACACAACCCCATTCCTCTGGGGGCCCTTAACAACATGTTCCCCCCTCCTCAGGCTGCCGGCGCTGGCTCCTGCTCCGCCACTTGCTTTTATTGTTTACATTTTTAAGTCAATTTATCATGGCCCATCAAGTGGGTAATGGCTGCCCCCAGCACACAAGCCCCTTTCAGGTCTCCCTCAGACAGCTCCACAAAGGGAACATTCATTGGAGCCTGGGCCATGAATAAGCCCTGGCTGAAACTCGCTGCTGCTGGGCGAGCCCAGGCAGGAGACAATGAGCCCTTTGAGAGGCTCCCAGGGAGGTGGGCACAAAGGGAAGGCCGTGAGACACACTGGGAGCAGAGCACAGACCCCCCCCCCTCTCCTCCCCAGGCACCACCCAAATTCTAAAGCTTAATTTCAAAATGAAAGAGTTGGAGGTCCCAGCTGAGGGTCCCACGTGGACATCCGCTCCCCGAGTCTGCTCCACACGAGTCTGAGGCTGCAGAAAAGCATCCCCACGTTCTGCTGGGTCACACCACGTGCCAGGACACAGCAGGTTCCACCAGCAGCTCCAGAAGGGACTGCTGATGAGTGTGCTCTGCAGGATCTACCTTCCCAGCTCCAGGACATCAGCCACTGCATTCTACCAACTCCAGATTAAGGCTGAGCCTATTACAGGGGGATTATTTTTATTTCTGGAACCCCCACGGCCGTGGTGCTTCCTCCAGAGGATGCTGAAGTTAAAGGAGACGTCGTCAGTCAGGCTGAAAGAAGATTCATAGCTCAGGATTCCTCTGTGGACTGAATGCAGATGCTCAAAATCACAGACTCCACTTCAGACACAAAAATCAACCCTCATACTCCTCCCCCAAGTACAGCCTCAGACAGGGCTCGCCCCCAGAGTGGGATTTCTTCAACTGCAGAAATTTAAGGGGCACACAGATCCAGAAAAGGCTTTATTAGGAATGTTGAAGGTACAGTGTTGCACACCCCTGCCTCACACTGGATTTTAAGCAGAGTTCAGGACCCAGGGCAGCCAGAATACGAGTTTTTGAGCTACCAAATTCAAGCAGCTACATGTTATATACAGGCCTAGCACCAGCTTGCTGGATCCCAGACCCTGCCACGGCAAGCAGAGGTGCAGGGGGGGGATTTTGCTGTTACCAGAGGGGCTCCTGGCACATCCACAGCCCATCCTGAGGTGCTCAGAGCAGGAGTGCAGCCCCTGCCCCTGCTCAGGCGCTGGGCGCGTACTGCATGGCCAGCCGCTCAAAGTCGTTCTCCTGCAGACCAGAGACAAGGGGAACAAACCTGGAACCCTGCTGGCAGCTCCACAAACATGCAGTAGCTGAAAAGAGCATCGCTCCCCCAGCTCAGAGGCACAAGGAATTGCAAGAAGCAAGAGCATCTCTATCAGTTCTCAGTTTTTTTCCAATTCGCCCCATTTTCCCTTCACTATTTCCCTCATCTTCCCCTTCCCAAACTCTCTCTCTTCCAGAAGGATGCTTCCTCTGTTTTAACATCTGATGGTAACAAACTTGACTCTGATTGAGAGCCCCAGAACTCTTCTTTCAGCCCATTCCCAGGTTCAGGACACTGCCCCTTTGCTTGGCCCCTGCCTCCTCCTTCCCAGCAGCTCTCACAGGGGTTTGCAAATTCGCTGCTAAGTGGTGTGAGCAGAAGGAGCAGGGCCCTGCAGTCCTGGTTACTGGGGAGGAACCCACTCACCCCATCAGACACCAAACCCCAGTTTATATTAGGAAGTAATTAGTACCTTTGCCTGGTACTCCTTTATGAATGGGTGATTTTTATGTCCATCTTTCAGCTGTGACAAGTAGCGATTCGTGACCTGATGGGGCAGAGAGATGCACTTAAATCCTGAGATAACATGAGAGGGAAGAGTTTAAAACATCACACCTCAGTCTGTTTGTTTACAGGGAGTAAGATTTTGGGCCCTGAATGTTAGCAGCCCCAGTTAAAACCTTTAAGACCTGTGCAGTCTGCACTTAAAATGAGATTTTAAATAGTGGGTTCAAGAAAATAATCAGTGAGAAAAGAGCTCAGAGCTCAGGAGACTTCTCCCTCCACTCAGGCCTTCCTCTCTTTGTCCACCACACCTGTATTTCCACAAACACTTGGCTGAATACTGAAGGCACGAGCTCCATGGCCCCCAGAACTGTTCTTTTTTTGGACAATGACAATCCTGATGACAATGTGTGAAATAAAACCCAGGCCAAGCTGCCCCGTGCACCAGGAACAGGTCCATGGTCCCTGCTGCCTGAGGACAATGAACCAAACCTCACCTCTGGGGGTTTGCCCAGGTGCTGTGACAGGACCACCAAGTTGATCAGGGTCTCAGGATGGCCACTGTCCTGCAAAGAAGGAAACCAACCATCACTCTGTGTGCCAGCCAGCACAGCTCTGCCAGGAGCAGCTCTGCCCAGCCCACAGCAAGCTGCTGAAGAGCCAAGCAGGAGGGGCTGGTATTGACAGCGACCACCCTTAGTGAGGTTGATCAGTATATTGGGGGGTTTGTGGTGTTTAGCAGGAAATCCC